GTGAGCCACCGCGCCTGGCCAAAAAGCTCAGTTTCCTTAGTAACTGCCTGGGTTGAACACTTCTCCTTGTCACTTACCTGCCCTGGATGATTAGACAAATACTTAACTCCTCAATGTCTCAGGTAATTTATTTTTAGAGTAGACATTAATAATACCTCCCTCAGGTTTAATGTGAAGATTAAATGAGGTGATGTTTGCAGAGCACTAATAACAGCATCTCCCATGTACTAATCTGTTAGTATTATTATTTATGCAAGGTAAGGCTACCACAAACAAGAAAAAATATTAATGTAATATATGTACTTCATCATTACGTTAAATATTAAATGTTTTGTGACCTTATGTATATCAAAGGAATAGCTCAAAATTGAAATACTTAAAATGAGACTAGAAAAGTAATTTCTTAAATATGGTAAAGAGAATATAAAATTAAAAAATGAACTTTACCTGGAACAGAAAAACATTAGAGAAACCCTTCTTAAAAACAAGATCAAAATATTGGTGCACAATGTTACCATAGGTAACCTGTTCTGGGTATTTATAGAAAAATGAAATAACATGACTAGTAATTTAAATATAAAAATGTTATTACATAGTTTAAATACCAGGAAAAGTTAAATACTAAGAAATCTGAATAATAAAAATTATCCAGAAATTTCACTAACAATGGTAACCAGGAATAGGTAAATACTTAAAGATCAGATTCATTCAACTTAATTAAAACTTCTAGATAGAAATTATAACACTTCTGCAGAAATGATTAAATAAAAAGGAAATACCTCAGGGAGATGGACGTGAAAGAAAGATTAATTATATATTTTATTAGATAGCACATTCATCCTTAATTATCAGCAGAATATTTTTGTAAACTTGACAACATAACATAAAACATTATTTTAAAATATGGTGACCCAAAAACATCCAAGATCATCTGACTGTCTGGGATGGGGGTAGGGGTTGGGAGAAGGAACATAATGGAAAACATCTGCCATCAGAAGAAAGTGTGACTTATCTTTTTAAGTCTCTTTCTTTAACTCTGAAAGTGAACCGCGAACTGGAGCTCTCTTGACCACACTGGTACCTAAAATTCTCCCATGTCTTCCCGGCACCTTCCTGCATCCTCTTTACCCAGCAACAGAGGACGCCAGCTCTATGAGTTCTCTGATTGGTGAAGCCCAGCCATGCTGACTCCTCTCCACCCATTTTGACCATTTCCAGGTGCTAGAAGCCCACAGTTTCAGAGTCTCATCTGCCTCCACTTGGCCTCCGTTCCTCATCACTGTTCCTGTGCTCACAGTTATTACAGACCCCACAACATGTGCACTGAAGACAGAATCTTCCAGACCAGAGCTGTGATCTTGAGAGCCCTCTCATTGGCTTTCTTCCTGAGTCTCCGAGGAGCTGGGGCCATCAAGGGTGAGTGCTCAGGGGGATGCAAGAGCATTGGGGTGATGGGGGGAGGCTCACATCAACTGTTGCTTCAGGAGTCAGAGATTTTAGGGGCTCCAGTGAGCCCCTAAATCTATCTGACCCTCGCGATAATCTGTGCTCCCTCTGGCCCTCATCATCATAACAGCAATAGCAGCCAGAATTGCCAGACACCTGCATAGTTTCTTTCCCCATTTACATCTCACAGGGATCTTCAATGAAGATATTATTCCCTTTATGTAGAAATTATTCCCTTTATTTAAAAATTATTTTGAGAAAACGGAAGCTCAAAAAAATGATTACGTTTTCCAAGGTTACACAGCAGATCAACAAGCCAAGTTTGAAGTTTAGAACCAGCTCTGATGATCATACACTGCCTTCTCCAGATTCCTGCACACAGCGACCTTCTACCAGGGCCCTGCAGGGCCCCCGTACCCCTCGTATCTCTCTGGGATCCCCAGCTTCTGTCTTTTGTGGCTGCTTTACAGGAACTCGGAGCTATGAGCTCAGCATTAGGAGAGAAAGTGCTAAGAGTGTTCCTGTATCCTCCCTCTCTCCTAGGACCCTAGGGACCTTCCTGGGTCTTTGTGGGTGGTCACAAGCTTTCCTCTCTCAAGACAGCAGTGTTGCATGGCCTTGTTAGCCTTGTGATTCAGGTCCTGAGACATCCAGGACTGCAGGGGAGGCCTAGACTTTGGATAGCCACAAGGACTCAGCCAGAGATGAACCGTGGTGCATTAATGCTCTTTCTTCCTGCAGCTGACATCAGAGAGAATGACATTAAGCCTATGTATGATACTGTTATCCCCAAATCTAGTGATGGGGAAGGTTAGAATCCATAACATACAAGATGCACACTGGCCTCAGACGGTTTTATTGAAGATGTGTAGAATAAAGAAGAAGTGAGGCTGGGGAGAACCAGAAGTATCTATTGCACTGTTCATGGTCACCTGGGTTATTTCTAATGTTATGTCCTAATAAACACCGCAATGGATGTATCGTCATAGATTCGAATACTTTTTAGGATTCTTGGTAGAAATTCCTAATTAGCTAAGCTGCCTCTTCAGGGCTTCCCTCCCCAGTGGTTTCTTGTCTCTTAACATTTAAACACGTCCTTTACCTTAAAAACATAAGAGCAGCCCAACTGATAAAAAACAACCTTACCTGCATCCTAGAGACACTCTGTCTGTGTCCTCACACTTGGAGCTAAGCTTCTGACTTGTCTCCAGTATATCCCTGAGGGTCCTCTCACCTTGGCCATCAGGAACCTCTGCAGAAGCTCAAATCCAGTGGGTTCTTCTCAGTGCCTCTGACTTGAGTTACTAATAACATTTGCACTGTAATCACTTCTTTCTGATGAACTACCCTGTCCTTATTTTTCTCCTATTTCTCTGGATCCTCCTTACCATCCTTCAAATCACCTCTTAATTATCATGTTCTCTCATCATACCCTGAGATCTCTGCAATTCTGATTTTTGCCACTCTTCCTGGAAAATCTCATCTAATCTGCACCTGCCCATCATGACTCTCAGTTCTCTGGCCTAAACTCCTCTCCTGAGACCACCCATCATACATAAATGTCTAGGTATTATTTCTCCTTAAATGACTTTCACATCTTCTAAGCGCAATGGCCCCACAGTGAACTCAGTGTCTTCTCCCAGTCAGGCCGTCTTCTCCCTGTGAGAAGTGGCTTTTGCCTTGTTTTCTGAATGCCTACATTGAAGCCATTGGTTCCCCAGGAAGCCGTCTCTGACGAGTTGTTTGATCGCATCTTGTGTATGCCCACAAATCTGCACGTATCCTTCTGAACCTGCCATTGTCTTGTCACTTGTGTTTCCTTCTGTGAATTGTAAGCGTCTGCAGAACAGGACCTACGTGTTATTTTTATTTGAATATTTAGCATCTAACAGCATTTGACATATGGTCTTTTAATACATATTTTTGTCTGAATGGAAATGATATTTTGATGTAAAATAATCTGTTTCACATCTGGATAATCTTTAGATTGCAGAACTTGTGGAAGTGTTT